AGAAGAATTAAAATGATATCTAAGTGAATAACAACAAAAAAGAGTATATGTATGAGTTATAACTAAACTCATCCATGAGCCAGTACTTTTATTCCAGATTCAGCAGATTAATGTGTTAAAAATATATAGTAAAATTCGAGGTACATACCTTTTTTGTTGTTATCTGCTTGATGTATATGGGGGGGGGGTCCAAAAAAATGTACTCACTCTTTGATAGTCAATATATTTGGAATAAAATGACATGTAGTTACAATTCTTGCGCGGTAGTGTAGTGTAATGTTTTCTCAACAGATGGCAAAGGTCATGTGAGTCGTGCCGCATGTGTGCTGCAAACAGAAGACGGCAGCAATTGCTGAAAGGTTCTTTGAGCAACGCAAGGCTGTATTGAAGTGGTACTGGAAGTACGAAAACATTAACAGGTACGACAATGGCAGAATGAGTTTGGAACTCAGCCACCAACACGTCAAACAATTGCCCGTATTCAGGATAAATTTGAAACCTACGGTACTGTTCATGATATGCATAAGCAAAGATCTGGGTGACCACGGACAGTAACAAGTCCAGCTTCCAGTGCTGTGGTGTTGCACCACTGGTCAAGTGTATCTCGATATGCTTCAGACATCGATTTTCCCTGCCTTTCGAGAGCTGTTTGGAGATGAGAGATTTTACCCACAACCATATGGTGCTCCACCTCACTACCATCAAGACGTCAGGTCGTACTTGGATGACACTCTACCTCGACTATGGATAGGTTGAAGAGGTGCTATCGAGTACCCACCACGGTCTCCAGACCTAACACCTCTCGACTGCTATCTATGGGGAACCTTGAAGGATGAAGTTTATCGACAAAAGCCAGCTATGCTGAACACGCTACGAGAAACCATCGAAGTGTCGTGTGCAACCATCACACCGGACACACTGACAGCCGTAGTTCGCTCAGCAGTTCGACGCTGTTTAGCCGCTGATGGGGGTCACTTTGAACACATACAATGACTCTCTCTCTCTCCACATAAAAATTGTAACTACATGTCATTTTGTTCCAAAGAGTGAGTATGTTTTTTGGACCCCCCTGTATCTATAGGCTGAAATGAAGCAGCCCCTGACAAGAAAATTAAATATGAATGTGTCTTTGCTCAGTCTGTGACATGAGGCACATTTTTAAAATTTCAAGCAGAAATATCACAGTGAGTCTGAAAGCTTATGTACCATCATGAGCAATATTATTTAATTGCTGTATTTTTGTATTGACCTCAGGCAGACAAGCTGATGGGATGGAAGTCAGATGGAACTGCAATGATGGTTGGCTTTGACACTGCTAGCAGATTCTGCTGCCACAGTGTCTAGTTACTTTTGTATTTACACTACTTTCTTCCTGTATGATTCACACCTATAAGACTCAACTTGTAAATAAGCAATTTCATACCACTGTTTCATTTGTAGTTCTTGTTGCATACTTTAAATTCAGTTGAACGTTTACTGTTCATGAATAGGAGACTAAATCTGTGGTTACTGTGGGGTCCATAGCTGGAGATTTTGCTTGGAAGTAACAGTTTGTTTAGGAATAGGTGATGTGAGTACTATGCAACACTTGGCCAGCTGGATGGCTTAGATTGCCAGTGAAAGTTGGGCATCTAACATGTGGGCAACTCTGGGGCACTTGAAAGCAGTTGCTGGCTAGACTAGTGGGGACTGAATGAATAAAGGAAATACATTTGTTCATGCAAAAATTAGCTCTTAATGGATAGAATAAATTCAGGTGAAAGAACCACAAACATCATTATTAATATAATAACCATCATCATGGCACATGTATTTGTCAAGTTCAAGAGTCCATGTTATGCTGCAGTGTTGGCACTCCTGTAGGTTGGTTTAACAAATGAAAAAGCAATACATGCATAACACTAATATAAACATTTCACCTCTTCACTCACACTTTAAATAATACACTCTTATACTAAAATGTCATGCTGGCATTTTATATACTGTATTACTTTGAATATAAGTGACATATTTTACACAGTTTTTCACGCTGAAAAATTGAGGTATCTCTTAAATTCAAGGATTGTGCATCTTTCTGATCCCCCACCCCCTAAAACCCGCATTCAAAAACTGGATGCATTTTAAATTCGAAGTAATACAGTATTATCATTTCAGTAACTCTACTTGTTATTGTATTTTTTTTTTCAGCTTTCAGCTTGGGATTATTTAAAACAATTAATTCCACTATTCTCTATTCTTGTTGGTTGTCCTGACAGTGCTTTACACACACATCTCTAAACATGGCAGCAGCAAGTACGGTCCTGTTATCACTTTAATTTTTCCTGCACCTAGCTGTAACATCTCATTTATAGGCTACCAGGCACTAGGTTTAAATGTGGAAGCCACTTTTGCAGCCTGCCATCATATCTCTACTGTCTAGCTGCTCAAGATAATGAACCAGGACACCTCAGCCAGTAATGTCATGGCCTGCATGACTCGCATTTCATTTCTTGCAGGGGGCATGTTGGGACCCACACAGCCTCCTACATAATGAATAATGGGGGATCTTCTGTCAGGGGTAAAGTGGCTGGGGGCATGAAGGTGCCACTCACCTCAATTTAGTGCAAAGGTTAAGAACACATAAATTCAGCATCCAGGTGCTTTACATGCCTTCAGATGGTTGGTGCCTGAACACAGACACAACTTTACATACCATCTATCAAATAAGATGGGTCTGTTAAGTTTCCAGTAGATACAATCAGGAATTAATTTATATTCTGACTGGTGTCTCCTCATTTCCTGAATACAACTTGCGCTTGTCACTTTCAGACCTCTGAATGCAACATATTTTACTGCTTCTCCTATGCCAGAGAAAACATCCCCAGTAGTAAATAATGTCCTGAGTGTGCCTAATGTTTTGTTAATTTGTAACAAAGGACGAGAACCACAGGCATGTAACGGAGCAACAATGGACAAGGGCATTTGTTCAATGCAAGTGTTCAACAGGTAGGCTGTAAAAGCAACAGTTTTGCCAATAGCAAGGCCAAATGCATTAATGTCAATTAAAATTATAAACAAACAGTTAAGTAAAAGGAACTACTTACACTTTTAATGCAAATCCTTCTGTGATTTATTTCATTACTGACAAGCAATATGTTGGTTAGCCAGTACATTCGCTTAATGGATGTCAAAAGGCTTTGTACGGACGAAAAGTGTGCAGGCATTATTCATTCACTAATGGGAAAAGACTCATATTTTTAACTCTCTGAGATGTTCCAAGCATACATTTCAAACCTCTGAGTACTGTGTATAATGAGAAAATTTGTACGTTATTTAATTGTGATGTATCAATGACAGTAGTTTATGCAGCATCAAATTACATGCGAGTATAATAATGAATCATCTCTAGAAGGGTATATGGAAAATTGCAGTAATAGCTTGTTTGCCGGCATCTAGTAAGAGGGGTCTGTTCAAAAACATAAATCTCAGTCAAGACACCCCCCAGTAATACAGACCATATGCAAATGATGTACCTTCCAAAACCGGAAGCATTGCTGGTTAGATAACCTGCTAGGTCACAAAATGAAATTTTGTCATGTCATAACCTGAAACACAGGATCAGATGGCATAACAGTGAAAGACTGTTTAAATATGAACTGCAGAGATTCATATACAGATCTGTAGAGTTTATAAATGTCTGCTGAAAATACAGCCATACCCCTAATGACAGGCAAACCACAGTCATTAGAACAGGGCCATAGCAATTATCAGGGAATAAACTTTTTCAAAAAGTGTACAAAAATCACTGCACAGAATCCGAACATTATTACAGACACAGTTCTCCTTGAAGAACATAACAGCTCTGGGCAGTATAGATTACATACAAACAGTATATTTTGGAGGTGCAGAAATTACAATATACCAATCTATATGGCATTCATTGACTTTAAAAGGGTTTTGATGCAACAAGCTGAACTAAATTTTGAGAAATATTATTTAAGAAAGGTATACTGCAATACTTACTAAGAATCATACAATGAAACTATGTAGACATAACAAACCAAGTTAGCGTAGGCCACACCATAGCTCACATGGTTAGTCACTGGCTTCCCACTGCGGCGGCCCAGGTTCGATCCCAGGTCTGGTCAAGTGGGATTTGTGGTGGACAAAGTGGCATTGGAGCGGGTTTTCTCCAAGTACTTCAGTTTCCCCTGCCAATCTCCATCCCACCAAATTCTCCATCATCATAATCACCGGGGCAGCCTACAATAGGTCAATCAGTGGCCGCCATGCCGAGTGGACCCAGTTGGACTCCACCCCCCCACTAAGTGAATTTAAAAAAAGTTAGTACAGGAACCAAAACAAGTTGAACTTTTAGACAAATTATGCAAGGGATCAGACAACTGTTTCCATTTTATTTCATTTGTAAATTTATGAAATCATTAAATAATAACAGCAATTTAAAAATAAATTATTTTAATGAAGAGGTAGTTCTGAACACATTATTGCAGATGACAAAGTTGTATTTGCTGATCCAAAGGATAACTTAACAGAGAAGTTGATGCAATATACAGTTCATGAACCTCTGATAAAAACAAGTATTTGGTTTCAAAGGAACAGAAAGTCCAGATTTTGACAACTAACCAGATGAGAGAACATGTAAACTCTTGCAATTATTTAGGATACACCTTCAAACAAAAGAGAGGAAAATTAAGTTACATAAATTCCGGCAGCTACCTCAAACAATAAAATAAACTATATTAAGGAAAGTAAGAACAGACAGGGTCTGAAGTTTTATAAACAATGGCATGTCCAACTCTATTACATGGCCGCACCATAGCTCAAATGGTTAGTCCCTGGCTTCCCACCACGGCAGCCTGGGTTCAATCCTGGGTCTGGTTAAGTGGGATTTGTGGTTGACAAAGTGGCTCTGGGGCAGGTTTTCTCCGAGTACTTCAGTTTCCCCTGCCAATCTTCATTCCACCAATTGCTCCGCAATGATCCCACAATCTGGGGCTGGTACAATAGGCCAGAAGTGGCCACAGTACAAGGGACTTAGTCCCACCCCACCAGCAATAAAAAAGAAAACTCTATTACAGGGATCTGAACCAGGAGGACTGAGAGCACAACAGAGAGAAGGACTGGGGCCTCAGATATGAAATTATTAAGACTGTTAACATGCTTGGCATCAAAGCATATCATTGGAACTACTGCATAGTACAGAATGGATTGGTATAATATGTTGTAATAATGGACTCAGACTGAATATCATATGGAATTTGAGACTACGAACCAATAGGAAGGTCTAAACAGTGTTGGAAGGACTCAGTTTAATCTAAGGCTTGCAACAGAATGAACAACCTAATCCATCAAGTTGCTGCTCATTTTTATCACAGATAAACAGTATTTATTAACTTCCTATTGCTGAAATCCCAAAGACACAATTAACAAAAACATGAGTTGTACCTTTTAAAAGGCATGCTTGGAACTTGAACCGGCTTCTTTTATCCCTGCTCCCTAACCTTTATCATCTTGGAATAGCAGATTTTAAAACCCCCAGTTCTCTGAGGCTGGGAGCCATAGTTTAACTCAGGGGTAACAGTAGTAGTATTGAAATAATGTAGGGCACAGCCAGGTGGACCAGGCACATGCTGTCACAGCAGTGCAAGACACAGCCAACAAGGGTTCACTTCTTTGGTATGTCTGCTACAAGGACATGGTATAACTTCTATTTTTACAGTCATCCTTTTACAGTGTGATGGACATGGACATGCTAGCAATCTGTATTTATTGGTGTCTAATTCTGCAATTATATTGTGCAGAAATTGTCACATAATCTTAAAATACATTTATATATTAGCACCTCATCTTCTCCACTTCAAGAAAGGGCAGAAAATAATATTCTGGACTGGACTAGCAAGTCACTTTCTAATAAAATACAAAACTGGTTTCACTTTCCAACCGACATATGTCCCTCCCGTGCACCTCACCTTGCACTCTCAGAATTACCTTCCTGTTCATCTGGAGCAGTTGTTTCATTAAGTCCTGCCTCTGGCCTCAGTAGACTGTGCCACATACCTTGTCATTTCTTTCACAAGGAGGCCGATATGGCACAGTGATCTCCTCCAAGATCGTGGAGTAGGATGGCTCTACCACCCAGCCCTGCAGCCACTCCACCAGGTGGCAGCACATACACTCTACCATCCGAAGCTCTGCCTGGGTCCAACTCTACAAGATTCTCATTGCTACGCTGCAAATCGTCATATGACCACACGGCAAGGTGGCGACTTTTCCCTTGCCGTGCCAGGAGATGGCAGGTACGTTGTGCTGTAGCAGACACGATCACTCCCGATATCACAGCCCAGTGAGCCTTGTGGCCACGCCGGCAACATGGAGAATGGTTGGAATCTGCATCATAGCTATAAGCCTGTTAAGGGTGGTTATGGTTAGCTGACAGATATTTCCATGGATAATATGTACACCTGTTAGAATCAGATTTAGGACATGAAACTCATAAATTATAATCCTCTTGTCTATGTGTTTCTCAAGATCATGTGCTAGAATAATCATGAATATTATTTTGGTCTTATCCAGTGTCTTAAGTTTTTCTTTTTCAGAAACAACATTCTGGAAACCTGATCTGTTTCCATCACCAGGAAAGGGTTCCTTTTCAGTTGGGGTCTGTTAGAAAGTCTTTTGAGAAACAATGGACTAATTGAGATTAGGTCTATCTAACAGGCCCAACTGAGGAGCTACTTTTCTTTAATATTCAGTTTCCAAAAATGCTGTGTTTAAAAAACACAAGATGATGAACAATAACCAAAGTAACAGTCATGTTTATACTAGCCTCCTGTTTATTTCTTAGTTCATTTTCAACTGCATAGGATATGCAGTATCAAGTAGGGAAGACGGTTTTGAATGATGATTTTGGAAACATTATGAATGATCATGGTCTGTGCAGGCACATACCAGGGCAGACTGAGAACCCCCCCCCCCAAAAAAAAACACCACAGTCAGGACAGCTGGCTTCTGGACTAAGAACTTAATCCTGGCCACTCAACTGTGACATTTTGGTAATTCTGTGCATTGCTTTGCTCCTTGTTAAATCTTCCAGCCATTATCTGCATGCACTAAGCAGATCTGGTGGTTTTAAGCACCTGTCCTGAAATTTGCAGAGATCTGATGTTCACATTACATTTCTGTATTGTCACACAACATGTGACATTCTGTACCGATCAGTCAGTCTGTTTATTATATGAAATTAAAAACAATACATGTTTCGGTCTTGCTGACCATATTCAGGTGTATACGTACAATATCACAAATATATTATGCTTTATCTGAATATTCCATAAATCTTCCTCCTCTGTACTGCAGATACACGCAAACAAGACACACAGAAGAGAACATGATCTTCTGAGCATACCAACGACAACATTACCTAAAGTTATGCTATGCACACACATATATAGGAATAATACCAAAGATTCATATAAAAATATGAATACACCATTCGAAATACCAGCCAGTATACTCAAGACTTGTGTATATATATACTTTATGTATTTTTACAACTTTAAAAACTGTAGATTTTACAGTTTACAACACCATTTAGGAAACCTTTAACTATATCGACCCAAAATGGGTCATTTTACACTACACATTCAGCAAAAGTGTAATATATTTATGATTTTACATGTATACATCTGAAGGTGGTCAGCAAGACAGAAACATGTACTGTTTTGGTCAGCGAGACATAATAACACATCAACTCATTGGTACATAAAGGCCAAAATACCACGTGTTGTGCGACGGTACAGAAACCTTGACATGACATCCATATAATGTCATCCTCACATTACTATGCTTCTGCTTGCTTGGCTTAGTCTTTGGTCCTAGAGACAGAGTCAGTACAGTCCTATGAAAAATGCCAAACAATCCACACCAAACGAGAGCATCTTGAATGGAACATGAATAAAGTTTAAAACACAAAATAACTCAAAACCAACTAATCATAACAAAAGCTGTCAAAGGCAACACATTAGTTATGCTACACAAAGACAACTACAATAACAAAATCAAAGAATTCACTGCTAAAAACAATTTTTCAAAATTACCACATAACATTACACATAAACAACTTAAATAAATAAGGTTATAAACACAAATAACAAATGGAAATAAATCAACGTGAACCAGAGACCCACAAATACATGACACAATAAAATTACATAAACATGACAAACCCATATAGCCAGTAGTCAACTGGAAAGTAAAGTCCCAGATACAAAACATCAGAACACTAATGTTGCCAAATATATTTAACGTCCAGAATTCGCACAATCTAAAAAACATCCTGAACAATGATCTTTACACGAATAAAGAAGAGAAAGCAGAATTATTATAAATATTAAGCTTGATTCTCGAACAGAACTATTTTTCAGTTTAATAATCAATTTTTCAAACAAAACAAAGGGCTAACAATGGAAGTACCCACATCAACAATTCTTGCCGAAACATTCATCCAACATCTTGAATATACCATAATCTATAAAACCCTCAATAAACACCAAATTATAGACTATTGTCGATGATATAATGATCACATAAAATGAATGCTATACGAATACAGAAAACATCTCAGATGAATTCAACAGAATACATCCCAAAATAAAATTCATGATGGAAAAGGAAACTCAAAATAGAACAAATTACCTTCATCTGATAATTACCAAAGAACACAGTAAATTAATATTCAGCATATATTGAAAACCCACCACAACAGATTCCATTACACATAATAATTCCTGTCACCCTAGTGAACACAAAAAATCATCAATAAACTATCTAATAAACCATATGAACACACATCCTCTTACTCAAGGAAATAAAGATCAAGGACAAACAATCATAAAAAAGATGCTAACGAAGATTGGATACCAACAATTGATTACAAATCACAAACACATAAATTAGCCCCCCCCCCACCAAATCTTTCAAAAACAATACAACAAACACAAAAAGAAAAAGGGGCCACCTTCACATATTTTGACACTGTTGTGGAGCACGCGAAGCTGTACGCTTGCTGTGGTGACGTTCAGAACTACTCCCCAAGCAGAAAACATTGCCTACGGAGACCAGGAGTAGATACACAACGTACTATACACCTGACTACAATCTTAAGGCGCTACATTCCAAACTGGTAGTACCCACACTGACGTAAGCTGACAAAACTGCTCCCCCAGCTCCACGAGAGATGGTATGACCCCTCTACCACAGCTAGAGTTCCGAAGAACTAACAGTACACTGTATCACATCTCAGAAGACAGTACCCTTCATAGTCATGACTGTGAAAGCCTACAATCTGACGTATTTATTTATGGTTTCTATAACAATGCTGTCAGTAGATACAATGCCAAATCATAGAATAATTAATGNGGGGGGGGGGAGGCTGGCAAAACCTACACGAAACCTGACTCAGTACAGCTGGCTGGTCTCCAGGCTGCACTTCCCAAATATAAAGCAGGACTTGTGCACTTGACCACAATCTTCAGTGCAGTAGGAAAGAAATGTCAAATAACCTTGAATCATTCATTCAATCCTTGTGAACAGATCAGCTGACAAGGTCTAAAAATGCATGGAATCTCATCTTAGATGCACTGTCAAGGCACAGACAGTGCCATAAAGGAAGGATACGGTATAAGAAGGACGCCACCCAATGTCAGCTGCTGAATTACATACTCCTTATCTTGTCCTAGACCACCAGGCAGAACTTCCACCTCACGGCAACTGTGCTGAAACATTTCCCGTGCTAGCGTAGCCATGTCATCCACTGAGAACATTTCACCATGGTTCGTAAAGCCATGTGCTTGAGCTTCCTGAAACAGCTCCTCCACAGATAGAGGATGTGGTGTGCAGGATGAGGCCATACTCAGAGCCACCAAGCCACATCTACATACAAATACAGTAATTTATTGAGTCACTAATTATAAATTAATAGTCCATAAAAATTACATAAATATTTAATATTAAAGTCCTTACTTTGGTCCATCTTGCAGAACTGGTTCAATGTATCTATAATAAGATATGTGTGGTGGGTCCTGTGTACCTTCATACTGCCACAGCCTGTTCCGGGTATCAAGGAGCTCCTGTTCAGGGTTTCGCCGACAAGTACAAGGCAGTACATTCACAACTGTACAACTGGCATGCAAAGGGATGAGGGTACATGCTGAGGAAAACTGAGGTAAATCATTAAACAGTAAGGGCAGGACAGGTGGTGGGGGTGGAGGGGGCGGTGGATAGTACATTGCATCTCTGTCAGATGACATTGATGTAAAATTAAATAACCTGCAATAAAATGAATGGATCAGTTTCACTGCAAGACTGTGCTCCATAAATGATCTTTCAAATATTTCATGTAGTCATATACTCGTAAGGTAGATATAAACCTTACAAAATCAAGATGGGAAGTTAGGCCACTTCGGAACTTTCATAAATGATTACAAAAACTAAAATGTACTAATAGCTGCTTTGAACAAAAACTTACACATTTACCTTCAAGAAGGTATGTAAGTCACTCTACACAAGAAACAATATTACACTTTTATTTAACAAACAACTACTGGGTCTCCTGTGTGTTTATCACCTTCAACTACAACAGTTAACCACAAACCCGTCACTGGCTACAGACGAATTTTCATATTTGTTAGGATTATTGTAAACGAGAGATCGCGCAACGATCACAAATGAACACTGTCACCAATATATTTAGAAACATTATCAGTGAAAAGCAAATTAACGCCTTCTTGTATATAAGTTATGTAATTCATGTGCTATACAATGATAGTTAAAGAATGCTTCCAAGGGAAAAAAATTCTTTCTTATTGCCATTCTTTGCATCATTACTCTACGTAACAACGATATTGGTAGCACTGAGTGCACTGAGAAAATGAGTACAGGAATTGTAATGGCGTGATGACGTTGATGACTTGGTCAAGTGTAGTGTGTTGTATATTAAACGTTGCTTACAATTAAGGGGAAGGCTTGTTGAAGATTTTCGATGTTACCTGTAATTTTAGCTGAAACACGAAAAATAAACCAACACCAATAGTTATATCATTGCTGTTACTTGTAGCTGTTAGACGTATTACTGTGATTCAATTTTTAAATTTTTTAGCGTTGTAACCAGTTACTTGTCAATGATAGTGTATTGTATCGTAGTATAATTATAATAATTTGCAGTTTTGTGATCTGAGAACGTAGGGAGAGAAGTTTGAACGCATTCTTGAAGTGTAATTGCCACAGACTTTGTAATAACTTCAGTCATGCCGGCAGTTGTTGTGGGGCGCCCCAAACGAACTGAAGCGATGTGGGAGGCGCTCAAAAATCACATCATACGAGAGAGACAAAAAAAGAAACAAGGTACTCCTCACGATGTAATTAAACAAGTTTTCTTTTTAAGAGTATTCTGCTTAAAGTGATCTGGACGTTCATTCCAGAAACATTTATTTCATGGAGTATCTTTATAACATTTTGAGGCTGGCTGTCTTGAATAACTTTGCAATTTTATTGCATTTCAGAACAAGAGGCGGATGCAGAGGTAGAACGCCAACGGAAGGAGCGTGAACGTAAACAGAAGCAAGATGTGATGACTCTTGGTGAGACTAGAGATCAGATTTCACAGCTGGAAGTGCGATTAGCCCAACTTAAAGATGAGAAACACCAGCTGTTTCTGCAACTGAAGAAAGTCCTTAATGAGGATGATAGGAGGAGGCAGTTAGTCAAGGAATCAAAGTATGTTTTTCTGAATAATTTGTTGGAGGAATTTCATTGGTGATTGAAGGCAAAAGTAAATGGCATGGATTGAAGCTTCTTTGTTAAAAGAGTTCTCACACAAAGTCTGTGTCCAGTTTCAGTTGTATCACCCAGAGTTAAAGGGGAGTAAAGAAACAGTTACATGTCAGTGTTCCATGGTTAATAAGGTTTAATTCATTTCCATAGTTTTGGCCACAAAGAATTTATTTAAGGGCACCTGTCAACTATAGACATTACATAGTGTACAGTATGGTGGTACAGTAGGCCTGCATTATGCAGCAGATTCAGATGCACTGTGGCTTTGACCATGTCTAGTAATGGACATATTTAATGTCATACAAATTTCTACAGAATATATTAGATGCGGAACAAGGATGTGTTGTGAGTCGTGTCCCTCGACCCTGTGGGTAAAGAACTGCATTCTTCTACCCACTTTGACCCGTGAATCCCTACTCTATATGGGTAAGGGACAGGCTCATAAGAAACGACTTGCTTGTAGCGTGATGCACTATGCCTCCCTAGGATTGTGTAAGGGATCTCAGGGGAGGAAAACCACAGTCGGTACGATGGGCCAGGCTGGACGGATCCGCTAGGCAGGAGCTGGAATGGAACATATGGCACAAGTATGCATATACTCAACTGGCATTCTCAAACATATCAGTATATACATATATATATTGATTTGTTTCATTCTGGTCTGTCACACCAGCAATTAAAAATATAAATCACTCCATCCAATGTGACCTGTAAGTTTATTACTACATGAAAACTTACGCCCTTACATGTTTCGGTCTCTGCGGACCATCTTCAGAGGGCAAACATCACTACAAATAGGAAACCACCATCACATACGTTGTTTAGACGTAAAGTACATACACAGTGAAAACAGCACAGCAGCCACGAGCAAACCCTGGAAGATATAAAGAACCTCCACATCAAGATAGACAGGTAGCACAATATCTGCCCCATACAAGAGGGACGATGGGAGGACAAACACGAGCCTGCATGGTTTATGAATTTTAATTATTGACAATGCAAATTTTTAATTAGTATCAAGAAATTTTAAATAATTTTTTAAAAACTTTACATTCCCAGGAAACTGCTGTGTTTGTGAAATGGTCTATTTTGTGTACTATGTCTTGTAGCATATAAGTGTATGTACTTTACACCTAAACNGCATCAGACGAAGAGAGACACCGAAAACTGATGCCGGAAGCAGCGTCATCAGCGGCGACTTGAAGCACAGAGAAAATAATGCTCGATATGGTTCAAGTTCGTATAGCAACAGGCGTTACCAGAGTGGTTTGAACGGCTGTTGTACTGCGATGTGGAAAGCAAATGGAAAAACTACCACATTATCACTATTCCTGGATAGTCTCTTTCCAAAAACAGAAGATCGCATTAAGTGGAGAAACTGTTTTGGAAGAGGCTGTGGACCTGTCATCTGACAGATTACTGATGAATGAATATATTGATAACATAAGTATACAAAGAACTCTGCCTGAGGGGCAGTGACTGGTTAAAACATGTGATAGATAATCAATACAGAATTATGCTGTGTCCAGCAGCACAGCGACTCAGTTAGGCCACGCCTCATGGCGCATTGCAAAGTCTTCAGTACAACATGTACTCGATCAAGCCTTCATAACACAAGGAAAGAGAGACAGCTTGAAATACTACAGAACACGCCTGAAGGGCAGTGACTGTTTATCGCAACCTTGGACAACCAAAATTACTCTATGCCACACGGCGTCTATAATCAAACCAAAATGCGCCTTACGGCGTACATTACCTTAGTAAGTCACTTACTTGTATTCTCGGATATACAACTCAAAGACTTACCTCACGACTGATCCACCCTTCACCATATCGTGAGGGCACTCTTCCCCCTTTAATCAGCGCTGCGGGCCGAAACCAAATTTCAAACACAATCAATTCAACTTGCCGAAACCAAATTTAAATGCAGCGATGTTTCCAGGCGAAGGTCAACGGGAAGAGAGGAAGATTAGCTCCACTTGAGCTAAGCAAGAAACCTCGGTCTAAGTCCAGGAGGGGGGGAGAGAAGGTCAGCTGACCTGACATCAGTCAAGGACGTTAGTTGGAAAGAAGGGAACGGCTCGCATCCTGGCGTTTAGGGGGGGGGGGGACTCCAAGGAACTTAACGAAGAAGAACCGTTGCACAGTTCAGTTGCAATATCCTTTGCTGTAGTTGGCAGGTATAGAAGGTAGAACCCATAGTTGGCTGTGAATAGTCTGTATTTTTCTGGTCTCTATAACCTTGAGATTATTTTCTTCAAGCAGTAAAATTTAATGAGCACCTCTTTTACCTGTTGTGTTTCTGGACATTATCCATCATCCAGTTTTTATTTAAAATGCCAACACCAGAGACAGGGACTAGATAGATCAGTTTGGCCCAACTGAGTAGGTTCCACATGAAGACAGACAGAATCCAGTCTCCGAAACATTGTCTTTTAAATAAAAATAGAATGATGGATAATATCCAGAAACACAGTAGTTTTATTAATATGCCATCATCACAATCAAATATGTACATTGAATATCATGTATGTATTTTAGTCACTGTGAACATAACAACAGGGATTCCAAAATTAGGTGAGTGTCAGTTTCACATATAACATAGTAGCTTATGATGCAAGTGCTGAAACTTGCCTGACACCCACTTTGTGTTTAGGGTCCGCTGTATGTTGAGAATGGTTTGGCAGAAAGTATTTTTAAATTACTGTCCAGGCATGGAGAGACTGAGGAGAACCATGAAAACTCTTGTCAGGATAGCCATCTGGTTATTTAGTTGAATGATTTATAAGTTATTTAATAATGCTTTTTTTCAGCTGTGTAAGTCTTATTACATTGTGTGAGATAAATCAAGAATACTGTGAATATGTAAGGATTTGTATGGAGGCAGTTGTGAGTTGTTTCATGGAGTTATCCTATCATTTGTTGGAAGTAAATGATGGAATCTGTGACAGACCTCAGTAGTGATAGCTGGCACACAACTGAATTTGGAACCAGAAATATTTTGAATAGATATTTAAAGTGTTGGTGCTGTTCCAGCCTCCCCATTCTGATATTTGAGCCAGGGACCATACCTGTAGAGCACAGTATGTCTTAGGAACTTTGCGAACTTCTCACATTAGGGGGGGGACCTATTATTTTATAAGCTGTGGTGTGCAGTTTGTAAAAGTCACAGCCATGAGAAATATTACAACAGTGCTGGAATGTGACCTGGCTGAGGACAGAACTTAACGTATTGTCATGTGTATGAGCAGCTACAAACTCATTAACTACACTTAACCGCTGAGAAATGGAGCAATATGTTGTCTCTTCAACTTCATTATTACAACCATCACAACACAACTAATATCAAGATCAGTGCCTAGTTTCGGCTATTAATAGCCATCATCAGGTAAATACGTGGTTAACATATATACACCACTGAACCGCAGTACTAGTAAAATTGGATACAATATATTAATTATATAAAATACTTGATGTAAAAATACAGTAAAACAGAAGTTATAGTATAAAGCAAGAATAAAATTCTTTGAGTTATGTTTTACATCATCGAGTCAGTTGTTGGTTTTGTAATTTTGTTGTGTTCCCATGGACAAATTGGAAATTCTATATTTTGTATATATATACAGGGTGTCCCAGGAGGAATGGACCAAACTTTGGGAGGGTGTTCCTTATGTTAAAGTATGCCGATATAACCCAAAACACCTATGTCCAAAGTTGAACGGTTACGGAGATAATGGCCAGAGAAGTGTCAAACTTTGACCGGTGTTACACACTTGTTGATTACAAAATACATATTAAAACTGGCAGGAATATGTGGATTCTGTAATGTTAATAATGTACGTAACATCAAAC